CCCCGCCCCGCCTCCGCCCCGCTCTTCCCCGCGGCCGCTTACCCGCACGGCCGGCCTGCGCGCCCGGCTCCTCGGGCTCCCGGGCGGCCGGGGCCTGCTCTCCAGCCGCGGGGCTGCCCGGCCTGCCCTCCTCGGGCGGCCGCTCGGCGATGGGCTGCAGCCCGGGCCGGTTCTTCCTCCTCCGCGGCGGGACGGGCGGGGGCGGGGGCCGGGACGGCACCAGGGCCCAGCCAGCCGGGGGGTCGCGGGGCGGCAGCGGCGGGGGCGGGGCGCGGCTCCGGGACCGCAGCTCCTTGAAGGTGGTGACCTCCCGCGGCGGCGCCGGGGAGCCGCCCAGGGAGCCGCTGGGGGGCAGCTCGCTGTCGGGCGAGAAGACTATGAGCCAGTCGCTGCGGTCCTTCTTGACCTGCGGCGCGAGGGGCAGCCCCGGGCCCCGCTTGCGCTTCTGGGCCAGCTCGTGGAAAGACGTGACGGTCCGGCGAGCCGCCGGCTCCTCGCTGACGTCACGCCTGCACCCCGCCTCGGCTCTCCCCGCGTCTGCTTTCCAGCCGGGGTCGGCTACCCCCGAGGCGGTTTTGCGCCCGGAGTCGAGTTGTCCGGGTTCCGTTTTCCAGCTGGAGTTACTATGCCCACTGATTTTGCAGCTAGAGTTATTGTTCTCCGCGATTCTCCAGCCGGCTTCCGCTTTCTCCGTGTCAATTTTCCAGATAGGGTTGATTTTCCAGCTGGGTTCCGTCTTCCCAGCGTCGGTTTTCCCATCATCATCATCCGCCTCTGGGAGCTCGGAGGCAGGGAGGTCCTGCTCCCCACCCTCGTCCTCTTCCTCCAGCCCCGGGGAGGGGGGCTCCAGGCAGGCGGTCAGGGCGTTGCAGTTGGAGTCCAGGCCAGGGCCAGGAGGGGAGGACGCTCCGGAGCAGGAATCGGGCGAGCAGCAGAAGCTGTCCGGGGAGCAGGCGCCAGGGCCTGCGGAAGCCAGTGGGGAGCCCTGCTCCAGGGGGGTGATGCTGGGCTGAGGGCGGACATGCTCGTCGCCAGGGAGGCCCCGCGAGTACACGGAGACGGGGGTCTCGTCAGGGCTAAGATCTGAGCAGGAGCTGAGCGAGGAGGAGCAGCCCGGGTCCGAGGGGGAGGCAGCCCCCTCTTCCTCCTGGGCCGGGTCCTGCCGGTTTTCCAAGCCTGGCCCGTGCTCCTGGCAGCAGCGGCAGGGCACGGCTGGGCTGTTGGAATTGGCATCCACCAGGGCCCCGCTGCAGGGGCCCCGGCTCTCCTTGCCCCCGGTGTCCCCTGGGGGAGGGGACGTGCTCAAGGGCCCCTCCCGTAGCTCAGGACGGCGGGACAGGTGCAGGCCCAGAGAGACATGCTGGAGGTGGATGTGGTTGAGGTTGCAAAGTAAAGCCCTCTGAGGGGACAG